GATCAACAGGTCTTATTTGTAGTCCATGTAGAAAAGAAACTGCTCACTGTGAGATACTGGAATGCTGATGTTTGATGATTCAAACAATCGACCATTTGCAAAAGCAGAGGATGCTTTGCTGATGATGCTCCAAGAAGGGGTGCACACCCATCTCTGGACACTACAGATGGATGTTGAACAAGATAAGGGAGGAGGCTGAAAGGAGGCAAGTCCTGTCAGGTGGGATAATGCTTTTTATCATGCCAACGTCCTTACACAAGTGGCTCAGCTTCCTATGTAGGCTGGAGGTACTCATCCTTTCTGATAATTGTCTCAGCTACACTGAATAAAGGAGCAGCTGAAACGTTGTGTCCTATGATCCCACAGTATTACATCATCTGTGTAAAACTCCCCGCTCCAGCAGAGGTACCTGGGCATTCCCACTGAGCGTGACTGTGGTATTAACCCACTGGACTTTGTGCTTCCTGGGCTTCCCCCAGCCCCACCGGATCAAGGCTGTGATCATCACTTCAACCAACAGACACAGAAATTGCAACAATCAAGTCTCATCTCTGGATCCACAGGTGGTGAATAAACACCTTTCTAACCTTATCCTCTCTTTCTCCTTCTTTCCCTTATACATTTTCTTAAGTGTTAATTTTTATGCTTTTATACTGTTGAATTTCTAAGCAAAACTTCTGCATTCTAAAATTTGCCAAGTTCCTTATTCTACCTTGATGTTCTAAAGTTTGCAAGTAAAAGTTTGATACTGAACCTCCCAAGAGTTTTGGTTTTTTTTCCCCAAGCACTACTCACAGTAAATCAAACAACCTTTACCAAGGGACCAGGACATAACAATGACTCAACACCTTCCCAGTACTTTGTGTAAGTAACCACTAAGAAGAGTCAAAGCCCTACACTAGTGTGGCAATATTGGGATTTGAATATTAGCCTTGCAAGGCAGCCTTCTCACTCACTGTGTGTTTTGGGAAAATTGGGATCCACCTCTGTTTGAAATAAAAGCACAATAAATAGCAAGCACCTGTATGATGCAGGTTGTCTCACTCAGTTACTACAGCATGACACCTCCTTCGCTTCAATCTGACAGCTCCAGAGCTGCAAGTTACACATGAAATCACCTGGAACTACCTACTGCCATGCACATCAGCAGCACAAAGCTGAAGGAAGGTTTGCACTCTCCCTGAGCAGCTGTCATGATTGCCACAGCAACCATGCACTGTGGTACAGGAACAACAGGGAGCAGGAGGCAGGAAGGAAGTATCTATTACTTGCTGCCATGGGTTAGAGATGGGATTTTATTTTTTTTCTTTTAGTGGGAAACTAATCAAATTGTATCTCTTGCCTCTTTGTGGAAATGTTTTCCATGAATGAATGGATGCACACAAAATTGTGCCCACTGACCACAGTCTCTTTATTCTACAATTCCTTCTTGTAATGGAGTATCAGGCAATGATACTATCAGTTTGCTTAATGCAGCCACTGAAACTTCAAATATTCAAGTAAACAAATTAAGTGGAAAATGGCCATGGTAGTAATAAGAAAACAAACTTAATCAGCAGGTGGTACACACTTTATTGTTGGAGTTAATGTGCCATTTTTTTATTACTAAGCTGCTTAGATTGGAGCTATCCTGATGCACAACGATTTCCATTTTCTATTCAATGGATAAAAGATTAGGTGTATTCACTCTCAAAACACTGTTTTGGAATAATTAGCTTTATGAATAACATCTTTCACTGCCACAGGTGTGGTTGTTTTCAAGGACAAAGTGGCCTTTCCCAGTGGCTGCCCAGTGAAGCTCCAAAGACAGACCCATGCAGCTTGCTGGAAAACACATTCTGGCTTCACATCACGATTTGTGAAAAAAGCATGCCAGCAACATGCCAGTCCAAGCTGCAAAATGAAGTGCTCCCAAAATAGTAGAGCTGCCTGTATTTGTCAGAAAACTCAGACACCAGATTTACTGTCTTTAAGGGAAAATACTAAGATTAATTTATTGAGACAGAAGTAAATACTCCTTTGAAAGCTGAAAACAGACTTCTGAGCTATTACCCAACACAATGTGTTTTTTAGGGATGGCCTGAAAGTGAAGTCTCCTAGCCTGCTTCCTGACTAAATAGCTTTGGTGAGTCCCCATGCTCCTATTTTAGCATAAAATAGATATTGGAATAAACTTTTTAAAGCATTTTATGTAAGTGTTACAATACAGAATCTCCATAAATAATCTATAAAATACTATCCTACCCTTGTAATCTCCAGCTATATGGACACAGACATCTGTAGTCTATTTAATTTTAAAAATATTTTTATTCCATAGCCCTTATTAAGCACCTTGGTCCAAATACATTTCTGAACATAACTTTGATGATTGTGATGTCAGCTCAGGTAAATATGTAATTTCATAAAAATTATTCACTGAATTGAGAAATGAAAATGTCTCTGTCCTGCAAATCTAACACACCTAGATCGCTCTTCTAGGGCCTTACCTTTTCATTCATCTTGTGTACTTCAGATTTTATTCAATGAAAACTTTAAACTTAACAAAGTAAATGGAATATTACTACTACTACTGATGATGATGATGATGATGATAATAATAATAATAATAATAATAATAATAATAATAATAATGATGATGATGATGATACTTCCTGAACATACAATTCAGAGAGCATTATTTAAGAGTGAAATCCAATATGTTAGAACTTGAAAAATGTCATGATTTGAGAAAAGAGGTAGTTTTTGCTATGATTATGCTTCTTCCCTGGCTACAACACTTGCATTAGATTTACATAACTGATACCAGTATTTTCATGCATTTTAAGCACGTAGAGAAAGAACAATTATTTCCAATAAAGCTTTTTGTTCCTTGCACTTGTTACTTGTGTTTTATTTTTGTTCTCCTCATCTGTGATTCAGCTGTTTTGATACAAGCATCTTCCTGCCTGTACCCTGTTTGCACTCAATTATTTAGTGGCACACAGAACTAAGACAAGCCTCTCCTGCACTGTCTGTTTTGTTCTCTATCAATCCAGCAGCCACAAAATCAGATAGGCAGGCACACTGACCATGAACATAGAGAAAATAGCCATGATCAATTTAGCAGATGCTGAGCTCTCTGAGACAATCCATTGCATCTTCCTTCTATTTTGTGACGGGTTGATCAGACTGATGACAATCAGTTCAACAAGCAGTGTTTTGCCTTAAGTACAACCAAATCAGAGGGTCAAGCTTGAGCAAGGACAAAAGCTGGGACAGATGTGGCAATATAAAGCGTCTGGCTTTGTAGGAACAGTGAAGTCACCACTCAGCCCTGGGAGTACTTCACAACCCCCAAGGACATCCATTTCCTCTGGTTAACCCCCAAGGACATCCATTTCCTCTGGTTAACCCCAGAGGGTTATGGGTGTGCTGGAAACCATCTGGTTTCCTCTGGTGCCTTCAGCACCATGAGCTTTTATTTTTCAGCACCTTTCTTTTACATACATACAGGGGGTTGTGAGCTTCACAGGATGCCATTAGCCTAGCAGCCACACCCCTGACATAAAATCTTTCTAGCATACCAATGTTAGAATTAGCTGAGTACAGCTTAGGTACTAGACAGAAACAACTGTTCTAATGATTGATCTTTACATATGGTTAGGCTAGTGTTACAAATTCAAATTCAGAATACTTAATTTTGGGCACATTATCTCCTGGCTAATAGCTCTTCACAAGTTTAGTAGGTAGAGAGTGTCAGTGGCTACAGATGTTGCATATCTTCAAAGAAACTTGTAACAAATCCACAACCTTGCTTGGAATAAAAATCTCAAAGCGAATACTGAAGACAAAATCTTCACAGTTATTTTTCAGTAGCAGGGTTTGTTCAAAGCCTGAAAACCTGTTCTGGATTTAGATGTTTGGAATAATCAAGAATTGCATTTTTCTAGTCTCGATAATTCAATGTCTGCCTCTGCTTTCTATCTGTCATTCCCTCTTCATTCCTTCCATCTGTGCTCCTCTCTCCCTTCCTCCATCTCTTCCTCATTATTTTCTTTTATCCTCTCTGTATGTTTTTTATGTCTATATTCAAAACAGTGGTTTACAATTAGGTTCTATGATGATGATGATGATGATGATGATGATGATGATTATTATTATTATTACTACTACTCCTACTATTCCTACTACTCCTATTGCTATTACTACTACTACTGAAATGGCCACAAATAATTAATGCTGCTACCCTAAAAAATTCACTCTGTTAATCACTGATCAGAAATGTTACAGAAAATTCATTTTAGGGCACTATCATCAACCTGGAGTTCCCAGAAGCTGTGATGTCAACCAAACCCAAACCTTAGAAGAAAGATTAAGTTATAAAATTGAATATGAATATATGTCTGTCTAGTCAGTTTGTGACTAATAAAAGCCTCCAGAAATGAATTGCAAATTTTTTCAAGGTGCTTTTTCTTCAAAAATATTTCTGCAAAAGCAGGCTCATTGATCTCCAAGAAACCATTGAAAGATCTTGTGCTCTTCAAGAGAATACAAGTGTGTGTTCAAGGGATAGTCTTGCCACTGCAGAGCACGAGCTTCAGAGACAAGCTGCTTTCCTTCCATGTCGTGTGTCTCCATAGTGAGTTAATAGCTCTTGTGATGCATCTGCAACTCTACAGCATCTTTAAAATACATTCCCAGGTACAGATGCATAATTATGTCTTCTTCTGCTTTCTGTAGTTGCATGAGTTTTAGTCATGATATGCCTGAGAAGGACTGAAAAATAGTAATATCTGTACCCTGCTAGCTGGGTTCTATGCTGTTCAAAGGAAATGTAGAGGAATTTACAAAAGGGAAGAGATCTGTTGCATTAATCACTTTAAATGCAAAAATATTGAGTAAAGCAAACAAAAGTCAGCATGATACCACTTTAGAGTCCGGATAACAGAGATCAGATTTGTCATATCTTCCAACAGGCAAATTAAGGATTTGATCAAAATAATGCATTGAACTCAACATACCAGCTCCTTCTTCTTCATGCATTCCATGAGGATAATGAAGAGGTGCTGTGCCTGGGTTCGGGTGTATGTGAAAGTCTTCTGGATGGTAACTAGCAACTGGTCCCTCAAAGACTCGTTGATAAGTCTGAAATTCAAAAAGAAAAGATTAAAAAAACAGACATGTGGGAACATTGTAACTTCATTTCAAGTGTCTTCAGGGACAAAGGTCAAAAAAATAAGAGTCAACAGATCACTCAAGTTTGTTTTGGGCAGGTTTCAAGGTCAGGAATTGCTGAAACCATAAGAGATAAATTGGTAAACACTGTTTTAGGAAAACACATTGATTGTGCTGAGGCCCATCATCTACTAAGTTTTCATATCAATTCCCACATACTGCATGACAGAAGGTCATTCAAACTGTCAGCTCTGTGGGATTTCGTAGAAAAAACAAGAACCACACTGACAGTCTGAATTTGAGGACAACCAACATTTTAAAGTTAACTGAAGACTCATTTCTCTCAGAGAGTTAGAAAAATTCAACTTGTAGTTAATTTTATGAAAGTGGGAACATTTATGTTGCCAGTGGTTTTGATTTTAGTTTGAATATGTCAACCCACCCTACTGATGTTACACAGGACCTCATAAGCAAACAAACAAGTTTCTCTGTTCCTCACTACACTCAAAGAAAACATTTTCATTTTGGGCATGCTGTTCCTCTAGGAGCTCGAGAGAACCACTTTATATTTCTCGTCAGTGCTAAGGTCAGTACTTGAAAAAAGCAGCCCAACAGCAGAAATAAATAGTAACAGTACATGAAATGCAAGTACTTGAACCCTACCCCTTCATTAAAAAAAAGTCTATTCCTCAGGACTATTTTGGGTGAAACATTTCTGTTCTCAATGTCAAAATTACAAAATAGTGGGCTTTAATTTAGAACAGGTATCCTTTGATCCTTCTACACCACAGCAATTTTCTCACTTAAAAATTACAACTTAGCATTTCAAATGAGCTAAGTTGGAATATTTTATGGGATAAGTCATCCAGTGGAGTGAAATCAGAGAATCTTCATGTCTCATATTTTAGGCCAGAAGATTAAAAAAAAATATTTAGTCCTGCAGCAACTGCAGAGAAATATCAGAAGCAGCAGGTATGTAAAAGTCAGTGTTAGCTTAGGGCAGCTGCTCTGGGAGAACAATAACTGGATCCTTTATTTTGCATACTATTGGCTGAAGTTTCCTGCACTTCTCCTCTGTGAGGTGGCACAAATGAGACTGCAGGATACTCATTACACCACTGAATTTCAACCTGATTTCATGATCTAATCTTTATACCTGCAGCAAATGCTGTCAGAAGAGACAACAAATGGAATGGGAAAGAAGTGCATGGAAGTACATAGAAGATCTGGCATAAGGAATGCACATGTTCTCTACCACATGAATTTGATTTTGGCCGTAAATATTCCCGTTGCATAGAACTTTGACTTCAAAAAGAAGCCTGGAAGGCATATGTCTATGTGTTGGGATTAAAATGAATTTACATGGGGATTTAGACCATTCTATGTGGATGACTGTTCTTCCTAGGCTTGGCTTCTGCTTCATCTCCTACTTTATCACGGACTCCCTTTGGGTGGTGAGTCTACCTCTGCACCTCCTGTTTTCATCTAGGAGCAGTCTGGCCCTAAATGTGCTATTTCCTGGGATACTGGAGAGGCAGCAACCATGCATCCACTGCTCACACATTAGGTGAGCACTCCTTCCCTGCAGCATGACCTGACTCCCTCACAAAAAGGCAATGCTGCGTGGCGAGTTAAAATGCACACGAGGAGTTAAAACTTCCAGCCTTCCTGGTGGACAACACTGGAGCTGGCAGCAGAGGACTTGCTGTGTGGGAATTACAAGAGAGATAATCTGACCTCCTGCACAGGAACAAAGATGTTAAAAACACAGGGGGACATGAAACAAGATGACAAGGATACAGGTAGAAACGTAGGACTGTGTGCTAAAGAGAATCAGCTTGGAAAGACTGATACCCAGACAAGCACTAATATACATTGAGTTGTGTATTAGTAGGTCATATGTGATATAAATTCTGATTTTAGGTTCTTGAAAAAAGGTGTTAGAAATCTGGTTTAATCAAATTAAAAAAAAAAAAAAATGGTGCTATCACTGTATTTATAAGTGGGTCAGAACTATGCAATTTTCCATACTTCAAATGAAGAAAGAAAAAAGAGTTTATTCACAATGAACAAGTTTCCTAAAAACATCACCTGGAGAAGCTAAAGAGATTCATATAAATATCTAATTTCCTTTGGAAACTATATACGGAAGAGTATGAAAATGATATGAAAAAAATCATAGACGTGGAAGATTCTCAAATTAAAAGGTTCAGAAAACATTTCCGAAGTTTCTGGCCAGCTTTCTTATAAGAATCTCATTTTCCTTAAATAATGTGTAGAATCCAAATATTGAATTTCATTTGAGAAATTGTCTCTCTTTCAGTCTAACACACACAGAAAGCAAGAGAAAGTTGCATTGAGTGAAAGCAGAATTATGTCTTGAGCAACCATCACTTTTCTTCCTTGAATTAAAGCTCTCAGAAACTGTATAATAGCATTAGTTTAAGCAGCATGTAAAGCAAACTTCATGTCAAAGATACAGAATTTTAAAACCCGGAAATTAAGAAGCTTCCCTGACTACAGGTAAAACATCTGTTAAAGTACTGCTGCTCTGAAACTTTCTGTAGTCATAATTTGATTTATGCAGATTCCTACCCTCACTAAATGTTTTTCTTTAACATCTCCTTGGTCTGCAAGTCTACAAGCCTATTCAATGCCTTTGTGAGATCAAAAACCTGAAGTGATTATAATCAGAAACATAAACAATAATAGCAATCTCTCCAGTAAAGTAATCATAGCTTTGTGTGCACTGAAATCAGGTATATCACGAATGGATCACTTTTATTCCTTAGGAGTCTATAAATGTTAGGAGGTGTCAAATCAAAGTTCCCAATTGTGTAATCCAGCTGGGAAAAACACAAACTGTTCCATGCTATTAGTGGCTAAATCTACGATGCAGACACCAAATCCAATTTGTGTTTAACAAGTAATTCCACAGAGTACTGTGAGCAAAACAACTGAGACTTGCAGGTGGGGTGATGATTTCTCTCCTTTGCAAACACCACCACATTTCTTACACACAACTTAAATATGTGCTTTTTGAAATCACGGATTCCTAGTTTTAAATTCACAGAAAAAGAGATGGGCCCACTTTACCAGAGTGAAACACCACAGTTATGACTTCCATCAAAGTCAGCATAGACTGAATAGTGTCAAAAGAAGACAGTATTTTTATCATCTTTCTAAAAATCTAAAAATACTTTGCAACATGCTAATAAAATTCTTCTGGGGACATTTTGATGGCATGATTCTCTGAATTCCACTTACTTACATGGAAAAAATACTGTTCCTGCCTAAACAAAATGTACTACAAAACAACTGTGTAAAGCGTTCTTTTTTTGCCTTCCTCATGTAATTTGAAACTGTTCTTTCATTCCCTAAATACGTAAGACATGCCCATTTTCCTACCAGCCCAGATATATTCAGCATTTTTTTCTTTCACAGAGGTTCTGGATTGCTGATGGAATTTAAGTACCTAATATCAAAAATCTGTTATCTAAAGTAGAGCTATATAAATTTACATTTATTTTCAGTACAAAAATTTACTCAGAATTGTTGTCTAAGAGTTTGTGGGTACGTTTTGTTTGCTTGTTTGCTTGTTTGTTTGTTTCCAGAAGATCCCAGCCTTAGTTTTGACACATCATCAGAACTGATGCCTTTCCAGAAAAGTCAGGATCTTGAATTTTAAGAAAAAAACCCTTGCATGAGCTCAAGGAGTTAGTCAATAGGATGCACTGGGAAACTGCTCTCTGGGCAGCAGAACTGTCCTGGGAAATTGCCCTCAATGAGCAGAACAGAGCTGGCAGATCTCTAAGGACACATTCCATGAAGCACAAGAATGAGACATCCCCAGGCAAAAGAAATAGGGCAAAGAAGGCAAGAGACTACCACACATGAGAGGAGACTTGCTGACTAAACTTAAAAAAATAAAAAAGCAGAAAATGCATCATGAGTGAAAAATGTACAGGTAACCTGGGTAGAGTTCACAGCCCAGTTATGCAGGACAGGGTCAGGAAAGCCAAGACAAAGAAGAAGCTGAACTTGGCAAGAGATACACAGAATAAAATGTAGGGCTTCTACAGGTATGACAGTGAGAAAAGGAAGGTTGAAGAAAGCATTTACCCCATCTGGTAAGCAAGGCTTGCAACCTGGCAATAATGTACAAAGAAAAGGCTGAGGTACTCCACAGCTCACCAAGGCCAAGTGCAAAGGCCTGCATCTGGGTCAGGGCAACCCCAATAGCAACACAGGCTGAGGGATGAACGGATAAGAAAGAACCTTCTGGAGAAGGGCTTGGGGAGCTGGTGGGTGAAAGGCTGGACAAGAGCTGATGTGTGTGTGCACCCACAGCCCAGAAAAACAATCGTGTCCTGGCCTGCATCCAAAGCAGCATGGGCAGCAGGCCAAGGAATAGGATTCTGCCCCTCTTCTTGGCTCTGCTGAGACCCCACCCGCACGGCTGCATCAGCTCTGGGGTCCCCAGCACAGGAAGGACATGGACTTTCTTGTGCAGGTCCAGAGGAGGTCATGCTGTTGATCAGAGGACTGGAGCACTTCTCCAGCCCTCTTACTGTGAGGAAAGGCTGATGGATATCAAGGGATATCCTGAACTTGGAGAAAAGAAGGCTCTGAGGAAACCTTATTAAAGCCTTTGAGCATTGTAGGGTGCCTGTAAGAAAAATGCGGACAGACTTTGTAGCAAAGCTGGTTGTAATAGAACAAGGAACAATATTTTTGAAACTAAAAGAGTTTTGATTTTGATTAGCTATAAACAAAAATATGTTTACACTGTAGACGATAAAGTGGTGAAAGAGGTATCCCAGAGAGCTGGTAGGTGTCCCATCCCTGGCAACGTTCACGGTCAGGTCAGAGAGGGCTCTGAACAACCTGATCTATTTGAACTTGCCCAGGGCAGGGGACTCCGATTAGATGACCTCTAAAGATGCCTTCAAGTCAAAACTATTCTATGT